GAGGATTTCGATATAAGCCAAGAGGAGACTGGTTTTCCTTTGCTAAAGTAAGGTAACTTTGCTTCCTTTGATCCTGTAAACAAACGTTGGTTTTCACGAGACTCACCGGCGCATGCGCAACGCTGAACTCATACGTCATTCCCCCGGAACTGCTTCTGTGTACAACTGCTGGCGCAAGCTACATTAAAGTGATTATTACGTTTTGAATATGGATATTTTTCTTACAAAAACGCATCGATTCGCTACAGGAGGCCTTTGTTCACCCCCCCCGGAGCCATGTGAGACACTTTTTTTTATGGATGGGTGATTTTTATTTAAGTTCTTTTGGACTGAAGCAATGCAACACCCGCTGAGTGGCATTAAACAGCTTGAAAGATCAAAGACAATTTTTAATATAACTCTACAGACTGGATTCGTCTGAAAGAAGCAAGTCATATACACCTAGGATGCCTCTTGGGTGAGTAAAACGCAGCCTAATTTTCATTTTTGGGTGAACTAACCCTTTAATATACTGTATATTCTCTGAAAATGATATCTTATGCAGCTGTGCTACTCCAGTAAATTTTCTTGTTCAAGGATGTTGACATTTTTATTGCATAACAAGACAAAAATACATGCCAACAATTATTTTCTAAAAGACATTTTTGTCTTTTTTTGTTTTTTGCTGTAAAATCTCTCAACATCCTTAAAACATAATACATTTACTTGAGACACAAAGGCCTGGTTCCACAGACAGTGCTTAGACTAAGCCAGGATTAGGCCATAGTTCAATTAGGACATTTAAGTAATTTTTCATAAACGTGCCTTAGAAAAAACATTACTGGTGTGCATCTTGAGTCAAAACAAAGGCACTGATATATTTTAAGATCAGTCAGTGCAAGTTTCTTTCAGTTGACACAGCTCAGACTTACATTTTAGTCTGGGACTAGGCTTAAGCCTTGTCTGTGAAACCGGGGGGAAATGACAAGATATTAAAGGCTGATTTATACTTCTGCGTCGGACCTACGCCGTAGCCTTTACGCCGTAGCCTATGCGTCAAATAATGCTATGTAGTATAATAAATGATAAGACACTTGTTCTTTGCTTTGTTTTATTTTATATAAGTAGAATATTAAAATATATTAAAGTGCACATAAACACACACAAAACTCAAGTACATATGGAGGGAGGGGTTTTTGCAGACCAATCACAGCGATTGCGGTCTGCGTAGAATTGACGCGCTGTTAAGATTTTTGGAGAGGTGCACGTCAGGCTACGGCGTATGTGTGTGCATCTATGCGTAAGCTACGGCGTAGGTTCGACGCAGAAGTATAAATCAGCCTTTAGTCTTGTTTTTTGAAGAATAAAAATCTATTTTTATTTTACTTTATTCTTAAAACAATAACAAATATCTGCCAATGGGGTAGTGACCCCATATACCCCATTACCCTAATGGCAGAGATTTTAAATAATATTTTTAAAGATATTTTTAGAAGCCTTAATACCTTGAATAATTTTGCTTCTCAAGTAAATCTTGATTTAAGAATATTTAGATATTTGTACTATAAATAATCAAAAATACTGAGCAGTAAAATATTTTTTGCATTGTAATGATTAAGATTTTGGTAACACTTTATTTTAAGAACCAATTCTCACTATTAACTAGCTGCTTATTAGCATTATTTACTTATTTTAATTTATTTTTTGCAAAGAATGGTGAAAATTAACTTAGTATGCATTGTATCTGATTGCAACATTCTTGGAAATGAAGAAGTACTTAAAAACAGAAGTGGTGGGTTTTATCTTCAGTGTCTCTGGTGGAAACCACATAAACGTGTGAATGTTTACACATCCTCTGACTTTATCACGACATAACTATTTCTCTCAAATTCTCTCAAATGTCATTTACATTTGTATTACAGGAGAATCTGCCCATTGTCTTAAAAGTGCACTAAATATCTGGGGGGTTACAGAGATAAAGTAGTGTGATCTCAACATGGCAGAGACTCGCCGTATGTTTTCTAGGTCACTGATGTTAATGCACTTTTCACCTTAAGTGGATATACATTATTTTAGTCATATTTTCCAAAATTACTGTTCATTTCTTAAACTTAAAACTTGGACTTTTATCCAAACATCTTAGTGCACTTTTATCAAACCTTGACATAAACTGTTTATAGGCTGAAAAATGCTTGGACAGTCCAACATTCAGATACACCCTTGCAATTTGTAATCTTTGGACCCAGATATGAATTTGTGCAATTCTGAATAACTACTCCAAGACATCTAGTTGCATCTTCTAAACTCTCACTTTTCCCATCATGACAGAGCAAAAAAACTGATTTCACACCAACAAATCTTTCTAAACAAGTCACATGATCAGATTAACTGCAGACAATCTGCCTAGCAACAAAACGCAGCTGTCAATGACCTACACAAAGAAGATTCGTAAGAGAAGGAGAAGAAGGTGGTAAAACAAAAGTGAACAGCTCCTGATAATGACGAATGAACAGATTGGTGAAAGCGGGGGCAGGGTTTCCGAAGGAACGTGAATGAGGTGTAAGGTGCATGATGGGAAAGCAGTGCAGCTGCTTATCTGTGTGTGTGGATAAAGATATTCAGCAACGAGTCCAAAACTTCAGGAATTTTCACACTATACTTATTCTATGGGTTACTAACTCAGAACTGTGAAACGTTTTATAGTAGTAAAAACAAACTTTCAAAAAATGCCTCAAGAAACATTCATGCACTTAGTATACAACTGATTTCCAGCAGACTTTTCCACAGGTCGACAAACTTATCAAAACAGACAGCTCGCTTATTGTGTGCTGTACTAACCATGTGTATATGCAAATGAGAATATTAACCAAGGGTTTACAAATGTAAATTGGGCCACAGTGTAATTCGGGCTCAAAATTAGGTGCTGCATTGCACTCACATTGAAACATATGAATGCACAGACTGAGAGCGCTCAGGTTTGTTTGTGTGTGTGTGTGTGATCAATGACACATACATCGTCATCGCATCTCGTGCGCCACTGATAAGGCTGCCTGACCGCTGACGCAGACCCTTAAATTCGAATGCAACGTTTTTCGACGAATATTCGAAATTCACATTTTTTTTGACAGCCCTAGTGTGAGGTAAAGCATTAGGGTGGTGCTGCTCACCTGTGGAGCTTCTGCGGACTCTGGGCCCGATGTGCTCTGTCCCATTCTACCTCAACGCACAGCTGGGCCATCAATGACAGGCACTGCAACACAGAGCAAGACAACAGACTTCATGCTAGAGCTGCACGATTATGACAAAAATCATAATTGTCGATTATTGTAATTGTAATTGCGATTATTCATTTACTATTAAATGAATGTTTACACCTTTGTTTGAAGCAACTGCATGCCATATTTTTATATGAAAATAAACAAGCTGAAAACACTAACTTTATTGCTTTTCTATAGTATTAAGTCTCAAATGTCAACTATACATCGGATTGGTTTCTCTTTAAATAAAAAGGTAAAAATATGCATGGTATTATAATGTTATACTCAAACTAAAATTAAAACAATGGAAAAACCCTTAAGATAACATGTAGAAAGAAAAAAAAGCATCTTAAGCATGCAGAATAACATAAGTGGACTTTGAACGATTAATTGCTGCTTTGAACTATTACGTAATTGTGCCATCCATAATTGTGATTGTGATTAGAAATTCGATTAATTGTGCAGCCCTACTTCATGCAACATGCACAGATCAGCATCACACACACATTCAATAAGAATCACTGCAGGCTCAAAAAAAAAACTTCCCATGAACATATTCAGTTCAAGTCCATGCACATTACAGGGATCAGCTGGATTGATTTTATAATAAAAGCTTTTCAGCCACGTTCAAATACAAAAATGTAATAATAGCTACAGTATAGCACGCAATTTGCTTCATAAAACATCACTTTTTTACAGTGCTGTTATTGTTAAAACTATATCTACGTGTTTTATTAATTGAAATAAAGCTGAAATTAGAGATGCACCGAAATGAAAATTCTTGGCCGAAGCCGAAACCGAACAAAATGAAACACTGTGCCGAAGGCCGAATACGGTTTTTCGAGTTTTTTTCCCCCATGTGTTTTGCCAATTTTTTTTCACCATTGCATAAATTAATTAGCCAAAATGTGCTTTTTACTGTTTTGCCTTGCTTTTCAAAGAAAAAAAAAATAAAAAAAAAACAACAATTTAAAAATATTTAACACTGAACATTTTTTTTTTACATTCTAGCAGACATTATACCAACAAAGCACAATTTAACTTAAAATTAATAAGTTAGTAAAATAATATTTTTTGGCCATCAGACCCCCTTCTTGAATCAGGCATGTATTTTTTACTGTACAAATAAAAGCAGCCTTGCTGAGCAGAAGATAATTCTTTTAAAACATTAGAAAATATTACAGATTTGAACACTATGTGTGTATGTTATAATAAATGTATTAACAGAGCAGTTGTAATTATTATTATCATTATATTGTCTTACTTTTTATTTTTTTAGAACAACAGTAAAATTACAATACTAACATTTATGAATGTTGATGGAGTTCTTGCTTTTTCTCAACTTTTATTTTGGTGGAAACGCGCAGGAAGACATCAATGCTTCTTTTTGTTGACAACAGCAGATTTATAAATGAGTCTCATTACGAATACGTTGCACATATCGCATTGTCACATGCCTTGTAAAAAATCATAAAAATGTGTGAGCAACTGACGAGTAACAGTGTTTCAGCGCAGATTTTCGAACCCTGGTTAACAAGCAGATCTGCAGCGCTGTCAGAATACATGCAATGTGTGCTTGTATTAAAATACATAACGTTCTGCAGTTTATTTACTAATTGTTTAAGGCCATTTCACGATTTCAATCATCATACAGTAACCAGCAACAATCACCCCTTCCTCTTCTCATTGAAGACATGCAATGCAGTACTAAACAGTCTCTCGCTGTAGGTGCTTGTAATGATTTTTGCGTCTTTCTCAGACAGTTTTACATGCTTCCACACTGCTGACATGTGTGCTGCATTATAAAGAGTGCGCGGCTGCGCGCCTCTATTTGATCGCGTCATATCATTGTTCGGTACAATTTATTCGGTCTTTTCTCTTATTATTTTGGTTTATACCAACAAAGCACAATTTAACTTAAAATTAATAAGTTAGTAAAATAATATTTTTTGGCCATCAGACCCCCTTCTTGAATCAGGCATGTATTTTTTACTGTACAAATAAAAGCAGCCTTGCTGAGCAGAAGATAATTCTTTTAAAACATTAGAAAATATTACAGATTTGAACACTATGTGTGTATGTTATAATAAATGTATTAACAGAGCAGTTGTAATTATTATTATCATTATATTGTCTTACTTTTTATTTTTTTAGAACAACAGTAAAATTACAATACTAACATTTATGAATGTTGATGGAGTTCTTGCTTTTTCTCAACTTTTATTTTGGTGGAAACGCGCAGGAAGACATCAATGCTTCTTTTTGTTGACAACAGCAGATTTATAAATGAGTCTCATTACGAATACGTTGCACATATCGCATTGTCACATGCCTTGTAAAAAATCATAAAAATGTGTGAGCAACTGACGAGTAACAGTGTTTCAGCGCAGATTTTCGAACCCTGGTTAACAAGCAGATCTGCAGCGCTGTCAGAATACATGCAATGTGTGCTTGTATTAAAATACATAACGTTCTGCAGTTTATTTACTAATTGTTTAAGGCCATTTCGCGATTTCAATCATCATACAGTAACCAGCAACAATCACCCCTTCCTCTTCTCATTGAAGACATGCAATGCAGTACTAAACAGTCTCTCGCTGTAGGTGCTTGTAATGATTTTTGCGTCTTTCTCAGACAGTTTTACATGCTTCCACACTGCTGACATGTGTGCTGCATTATAAAGAGTGCGCGGCTGCGCGCCTCTATTTGATCGCGTCATATCATTGTTCGGTACAATTTATTCGGTCTTTTCTCTTATTATTTTGGTTGCCGAATATTCGGTGCATTCCTAGCTGAAATAAATAAATAGAAGATAAAAAAAAATGTAACTTTAAAATCTTAAATGAAAATGAGAAATGTTGCCTTGGCAGCTAAACTTAAATAAAAGTTACCAAGTACAAAAATTACTAAAACTAAATGACAAAAGCACATTTACTAAATTGCTGAACACAATTTAACACAGTTACTAAAACTTAAACTGAAATTAAAATGAAAACTAAAAATATATGAATAAAAGCTATAAATGCTATAATAGTTAATTATGATGTTATGATGTTAATGTAAATAGTTATAATGTAAATAATACTAAAATAACACTGCCAGCCCAGAAATGTTGCCTTGGCAACTAAAGTTGAAGTATTACGATTACTAAAACAAAAAATAATAGAAATTAAACAAAAAAAAACTAAAAATGACAAAAGCACTACAACTTTAAAATGAAAAAGAAAACTGAAAATATAAGAATAAAAGCTATATACTATAAGTTAGGGCTGCACGATAAATCAAAATGGAATCGAGATCACGATTCGACAGAAGCTGTGATTGTCATGCATATCTTTCAGTGAAGCATGGTTCTGTGATCAGCAGTAAATCTCCATCCAAAGGTCAGAGGGCGCTCTCTTACAGAACCGGCTTTTTTAACAAAATGCGCATGACAATCGCATTCGATTAATCGTGCAGCCCTACTATAAGTTATGTAAATAATACTAAAATAACACTGACATTTTATAATATCTTAACCTATATAAAAGTATTTTATAAATATTATTCTAACATTCAGTCCCTTAATGTGTACCATACAAACACAAACAAGTACAGCCAGTATTTAAAAAACTTTGCTGCCAGAAATGATTCATTGTATTTGGCAAACAGAGAATATTTAAATATTGTTTTCATAATACTAATGTTAATGTAAACAGTGCTTAAAAACAGGTCAGTCAAAGATCACAATCAGCAGAGGAAACTATCCAATCACAACCCCTCCCCAAACTGATGTCATCATCCCTGACAGACTCCCAATAAAACACACATACAGCATGAGTGATTTTCATTCTGATCTTCCCACCAATAACTTCATTGTTCCTTTCACATCCAGGGTTGCACAAGAAGCCTGTGTACACTGAACCACACACACGCTGATTTCGCTGACCTATGCAGCAAACAACACAAGCCCTTCACATTCAGTACACACATAAGCACGTTTATAGTGGGAGAGCCCAACCTCCAACAAAAACACGTTCCTTTACATCTCCCATCTACACCTAAAAAACTGAGCACGAGTCCATCTAAAGCCATTCAGTGATGAAAACACAGTGTCTAGAGGCTAACAACTGAAATCAATGGGGGTGGAGAGAGGATTAGATTACTGAGATCACAGCAGACATAAAGAGATTCATCCACATCTGGATATGAGTGTGTATAAAATGCACTGGTAATGGCTGGAGATGCAAGCCAACTATGAAAGATTTACTGTTTATACACATGAAAGAGACATAGCGAGTGATTGTATCACATTCAGATTGATTATAGGCAGAGATAGCATTGACATTCAATAACATGCTATAGAATAACAAAAGAGGGAATGGAAACCACAGGGCAATGATGAAGGGGGGGCTGGGGGGAATCTGAAATGCCAGTATTCATTACTCACTAATGGGCACCTTCTAATAGCCATTGTCCTCAGTTAACAATGCTCTTATGCGCCCTTAAGCATGAGAGAAAAAGAAAAGACGCCCACACACACTTGCAGACACAGTTTTGTTTTAGAGCCCCCAACTGACAAATACAACACTCAACAATTCAACAAGAACCGTCAAAGCGGCAATGCAGAGTCCTTCACGATATTAGCATGTTCAGCGGCTCAGACATGCTTAAACACAATGTGAACATCTCTGATTTCAAATTGTATGCATACAGATGTCGCTGCACGACAGAGACAACTCACGCGTGACTTTGATGGATACAACAGCTACTACTTTCCATTAGTACAAAATAGTCCCTGAAACTCTTTAAAATGTTAACTTTTTTCTTTTCAATAAATAGTCAGTGAAAGGAGGTGCTTAAAGGGACAATCCACCCAAAAATGAAAATTCTGTCATTATTTATTCACCCTGAAGTTGTTCCAAACTTGTATGAGTTTCTAGGGCTGCACGATTAATCGAATGCGATTGTCATGCGCATTTTGATAGTAATGCCGGTTCTGTAATCAGCAGGAAATCATCATCACGTGCTTTCAGATGGAGCAGAATTTACTACACAG